CATGTGGTGCATTTAAATGATTCATGGAAATGTTACACAGCGCATCCTTTTGACGGTGTGTCATATTGTAGAATCTAATGCGTATTTCCTTCAGAGCAAAGTAGTAAAAAAAGGAAAGAAAAGAAAAGATGTGCTGTTGATAAATCATATATTAATAAATTACACTGTATGTTTTTTCCATTTATTTATTTTTTGTCAATGTAAAATTATGATAATACATTACATAATTCACTAAAGTCACTTTCTTGTTGTGATTGTAGTTTGTCAATTGCAGTAATATGTACAGCATCATGTAAGGCAGCCCTGCAAAAGTACCAGGAGTATTAGTTGCAGTACTGTAAAACTTTCCTTTACATGTTTAACACTTACGCATCAACATACTTCTTGTCAGAGGTAGGGACTTGTAAGTCGTGACTTGGACTCGAGTCAGACTTGAGTCACTTTTTTTAGGACTTGAGACTTGACTTGATAAAATGGACTGAGACTTGGGACTCGACTTGAGAAGACTTGAGAAGCACATTTAAATCTGAATTTGATCTATTCTGACTGTAATAATTCATGCTAAGATCTTGTCAATTTAAAAAGGAAAAAGAAAAAAAACTGCATTTCTACAACTCCCACATACTCTATAAATACTCATATATAAATATATTATGACTTTATAAGTGCAATTTATCTTAAAAGTCATATAAATTGCAAAAATCTAAGCTGTATTTGATACTTTAGTTTAAAGACTGACTTGAAGCTCAAAGCAGATGACTTGGACTTGACTTGGACTTATAAGCATGTAATATCAGTGAGTCAAAACTCGAATTGGACTTGCCTGTATATGACTTGGGAGTTGACTCGGGACTTGAGGTCAACGACTTGAGACTTACTTGAGACATGCAAAACTAAATACTTAAAAAAAATAAAAAAATAATAATAATAATAATAATAATAATTCAAAATACTTTGTAGTTTGTAGTATTTTGCACTTTCGCATACCTCTCTGTACCTCAAACGCAGTAACAATTTTACACTTTAAAAAACGCCAAACATGTGTCATTCATACCAAGCACGCTCTCTCTCTCTGTTTCATCACTCTATTGTTCCATCTATCTCTCCCTTTTTTCTGTCTCTCCCTCTCTCCTGTTTGCACCCCCCTCTCTCTTTTTCTCTCTTTTTTGTGTCTCCCAATTTCTGTCTCATCTTTCTCTCCTCTCCCCCAGTTTCCAAATCTTTTTCTCTCTCTCCCTCTCTTTTCTCTTTATATATTTCTCAGTGGTGGTGTGTCACTCCTGCACTTTTTTATTTAATAGTAGTAGTAGTAGTAATAGCAGTAATATGTATAGCATGTAATATCATGAAAGGCAGCCCTGCAAAAGTACCAGGAGTATTAGTTGCAGTACTGTAATACTTACCTTTACATTGTGTTCATTCGTTCACTTCATTTAAATTGCCTCTGCAGGATAAATAAAGCCTATTAATTGACTAATGGATAAACTCCACTTAATAGAAAACTACTAGGCTCTCTGTCCATCACTGCGTTTATTACTATATGGACTTACTGTTCAATATAAGATTAGATGCTGACAATGGAGCTGTAGATGGTCAGATAATGATCACGATACATAATAGATACTAGATCTAACTATGTCTTTCACTGTGTTGTTTATTTAACCTTTTGCTGGACATATTTTATAGGCTTCGCTTAGACTTATACATGGGTTTAGGTGAGTCTATATTGTGTCAGTGGCATAGTTTCAGTGTTATCATTTATCATGATATTTGCACTTTAAAGGTGCACTATGGAACTTCCAAGGTGGTTAGCACTCATGCCTCACAGCAAGAAGGTTCCAGGTCCAATCCCCAGGTCGACTGAGCCTTTCTGTGTGGAGTTTGCATGTTTCTCCCTGTGTCTGGACGGGTTTCCTCTGGGTGTTCCGGTTTCCCCCATCAACCCAAAACATGCTAGGTCTCCAGAAAGAATAGCTGATAGCTGATAGCTAAGGTCAATTAAATACAATCAATCAATGACCCTGCCCAGGGACGACAGGTGGAAATTAGCACTGGTGCTACAGCCTGGTACAATGCATCTCTCCTGCTAAGGTTAATGTAAATTGTGCACTGTCCCTGTCTCATTAAATAAATAAACTAACTAAATATATCTGTCCAATTGTCCAGTTACACGTTTAAAGGTCTTATTCGGGATGCAGTGATATCCAAATCTCATGGTATGATATTTATTGCAATATTTTGGAGAGGCTGATATATTTGTAGATGGGTAGATAAGATGCTTTTTTCAATACCTTGACAAGATTTTGATTTGAATTATTTCCATCATAATCCCAAGAATTCAAGTAAAAAACATATAACTTCATGTTCTCTATGCTGAAATGAATCATGGGATATGTAGTTCCCAGTGTTTATTAGCTATTGCAACACTAAGCAGAGGAACTTGTGATTCGATATATTGTGATGCCCCACGATATTATTGTGAGACTTTTGATGATACAATATCACGATATTTCGGTTATTGTTACATCCCTAGGTCTTAAACACTTCAAACACAGCAATCTTTTTCACTATATGCAGGCTTGCTTCATCATAGATTCATACTGTGGGATATTTAAGGCAAAGCACTAACATATCTATGGAGACAAGCCTCCAACAGAAAAGTTACACAGTGCACCTTTAAAATGTGTTATCATGACAGGTCTAGTGTTTATTGAAGCACTATTTTAAAGTAGGTCAACACTCCCACCTTCGACTCATGCAGCAGCAGCCTCTCCATATCTGCACACGTCCTCCAGCAGCTCCACAGTGCCCTGCTCTGGCTGCTAACAACCTGCCGGACCATGACGACGGTTGCCGGGGGAGATTGGCCCATCATATGTACACTCCTGTCTCCCGCGGGACCCCCTGCACACGGAGCTCTGACAGGGGCTCTTACGCCTGGCTGACCCTGCCCTCAGCCTGCTCAGGGGCCAATCCAGGGAGCCGATTATCATTCAGCGCTCCACTCTCAGCACCCGCCACCAGGCATGGGGCTAAAAATGTGTGTTTTCATGTGCAAAAGGTGTAGAAGGTCCTGGAAGAGGAGACTGGTAAAATACACTAAGGAGAGATGTTGTACTAGAGTTTTACCTGGAGCAGTGAATGAAAAGATGAGACTTGTTGACCTTGTTGAAAGATAGAGCGTTATGGAAATGACTGAGTTGTAAAGTTATTTGTGAGTAAAAATAAAGTTAGATGCCTTCCAGTTGTACAGTGTGAAAATTTGTGTTTTATTAACTGAATTTAAAGTTTTAATAGTTTAATTATTGATGGCGATGCAAGTTAAGTGTGGGTGATGTTCTAAAATCAGAATGGGATTTGACCATGTGACAGTCTGCCCTTTCTACTCCTCTACTGGTTCAGGATTTACAATGCTGAGTGAGTGACAAGTGGATTTAACCAATCACAGTGAAGTGTGATCTCTCAGAAGAAGCAGAGACCTTTAGCTTCTCTTATGTAACTAATAATGCAATTGTGTTAAAATCGATTTTGTAATCTATACTCAAAGGAAATATGAATTGATTGGATTTTGGACAATGTACAATAATGTTATGCTATATTTTTGAGTTTAAGTGTAATATACCTATCAGCCCTATAGTTATTAGGGATGTAACAATAACCGAAATATTGTGATATCGTATCGTCAATGTTCTCACAATAATATAGTGGGCCATCACAGTATGTCGAATTACAAGTCTCTTTGCTTAAATTAAGAGTTATGGTGCAGCATTAACTAAAAAAAGACAAAGGGAACTACATAGACCATGATCCTTTGCTCCATTTCAGTGCAGACTACTTGAAGAAATAACAGTTCTAAGCACTTTTAAGTCTTAGTTCTTTGGATTAAGTCTTGTCAAGGCATTTTAAGAGGAAAAAGTATCTTATTAATAGTTTTAGCTGTTTAACCTCCACAAAATATCACAATAAATATCATACAGTGAGATGTATATCATGAAAATATCATACTGAGAGATTTGGATATAGTTAAATCCCTAATCATGAGCCTCCCCACCATATCGTGAGCTTTCCCACGATATCACAATAAATATTGTGCCATGAGGTTCATACTGTGACGATATTGTATCGCGAGACTTGGATATCGTTGCAACTCTAATAGTTATGACCACTGATATGAAGTTTTTCATGTAATGTTTGTGTTCAAACTCCCTATACTTTGTATGCTGTCTCATCGGCGGTAATGGGAAACATACTTTTAAAATGTATGTAGTTGCAGAATACCGAATACCTGCATTAAAGTGTATTTTTTAATGTATTCTGATACATGGTCCAGAAAGAGTACTGTATTCTGAATACTTTCAATACTTTTAACACAGAGTTGCTCTTAAATGTTAGTGTGAAAATTCAACGTAGGATTAAAAGCAGCTTTGTTTCTCTATTTGTTTTGCATTTATCGTTGATCAGAGAAGAAAAAATCACACATGCACTCACCAGTGTTTTATTTATCTTTTTCTCTTTAATTCTTTGCAGTTTGAAGTCTAAATTGAGTGACCAAATACTGCCATGTATTCCTTTGATTTTAGACAAATAACTGTGTTCTGCAAATGATTTTCAAATGTAAGACTATGACTCAGACTATGTATTCTCAGTATGTGTATTCAGCTACTTCCCAACACCACCTCAAATTGTAATTATGATGTCATCCCACTTGTTTTCCTTCAGTTCTTCCTTAAATCACTTTAGACAGATATTACAAACTAACCACTACAGTCCAGGAACACTCAACAAGATGTGCAGTTTGACAGTGCTCTGACACAGTTATCAAACCATCACAGTTTTCTCTTTTGTCAGTCTTATTTTTTCCTTTCTCCATCCACTTCTCTGTCTACAGGTGCGAAGAAGACTAATCTTTACTTGTCAGTTGTCATATTTGTCTGCCTCTATGCTAAACCACCCCAATGTTTCAAAAAGTTAAAATTCTACATCTTCTTTGTTTCCTTCAGGCTTCGGAGGGAGGGCTACACGGTGCAGGTCAGCGTCAACGACTACCTGGACATCTATTGCCCGCATTATAACAGCAGCCAGCGGGGGACACTAGAGCGCACAGTGGCCGAGCAGTACATCCTCTACATGGTGAGCTACAGAGGCTACCGCACATGTGACCCCGGCCTCGGCTTCAAACGCTGGGAGTGTAACCGGCCCCACGCCCCCCACGCCCCCATCAAGTTCTCCGAGAAGTTCCAGAGATACAGCGCCTTCTCTCTGGGCTACGAGTTCAACGTGGGACAGGAGTACTACTACATCTGTGAGTACTTTTGTTTACAACTACAAACTTTAATCTACTATGATATACTATGTCTCAAAATTTTCAGCAACAAGAATTAATGTTCTGTCCTTTCTTAGTCATTATATATGTGAACAAATATTACAGTGTCAAATACATTTTATAAAGTCATAAAAGCAGTATCTCTGAGTTTTAGTGTGTCCATTTTTGTGTGTTTAGATCAAAAATATTACCTGTTTTACGCAAGCTTAACCCATGTGAGCATTAAGTTATGTTATAATGTTGCCACCTCCTCAGAAATATACCTGGAGTTGTATGTTATTAGGTTCTTTTCTCAGACTAAGAGTTTTGTTTTCACACCTGACAGTTTTGAATGGTCAGCTGATTTAAACAGGATTTGGTGCTGTCTTCCTACCAGTGGAGGCAGGACGACAGCGCCATCTGCTGTCCGACTTCCTCAGGACAGTATCCGAGGTGTGTGAGAGTAATGTGAGAGTGTGAGAGTATCACGTGACCACTCTGAGGAAGACCGCTGGTGAACAACTGTCTGTATGAAAACAAAACTCTTGAAAATTATAACATAAATTATCAGAAGACCAAATGAAACTCACTGGACTATACATGGAGTTGTGTTTTGTTTCATTCACACATGTTTAAGCAACTGTTTATTATTAGTCTGTCTGCATCTCCAAAAGCTCAAAATGCTCTGTTCCAACTTGTGATGTCATGAAGTAGTTTTCAAGTTAACAGCTCCTTTTATCTTTTGTTTTGTAGAGATTTGCAATTCCAGGTCTGAAATTATCCAAATGATTCTAGTGAAGGTGTATGGAGCTTAAAAACACACTGGAGCACTTCCTGTATTACCACATGACATCACAAGGTGGAACAGAGTGTTTTCTGTTAGAGAGAAGAACTCAGCCTAAATATGCAGGATTTGTGAGTTAAACATGTGTGAATGAAACAAAACACCACTCCAGGTATGTTTGTGATGATTGACACAAAAACCCAAGAGCAGATTTAAACCACAAAAACTATTCTAAATTTACAATATTGTTAAAAAAAAAAAATTTATTATTATTATGAGCTTAAATAAATAAACAGCAGAATAAAACCCTTTAGTACTTAATTTGCATCTGTAATGAGTCATAGAAGTCATTAATTAAAAACTCTACGGCTTAAATCTTATCATAAAGCCAAAAAATAACCCAAAATTTCCCAGTGTTGCAAAGAAATTGTACACACGATAAATATTCACCCTCCAAAAATATTATTCCAGCTTTCGTATATTGAATAAGGGATGTAATGGTATTTCTCCGTACGATATTTTCACGATATACATTTCTCTAACACTTTACGATACGATATATTAATTGCAATATTTTGTGATGAATGTATTTGTTTTTGAGCAATAACATTGCATTGTCCAAGAAGTTGTATATTTTTTTTATGTTAGTGGTAGTAAATTAAACGATATCTCATCCATCTCACATATTTATCTAATGTAGTGACATACATGCTCCTCCTAAATCTCCACTAAACATGGTGAGATATAATTACCTTATTGTACACACGGTTGTAACTTACCTCTACGTAAATATTTCCTTTTCATGACATTGCAATAATAGTGCTGCCTAGTATCTGATTGAAAGTCCAAGGTCTCGTCTTTGATTTAACAGCACATCCATAACGCGCCGGTAAAGCAGAATCTGTAATGATGGTAGTAAATAGGAGGAGGAGTTGATCTGAGGACAGACCTGTTGTTCTCGGACCGGCCTGTAGGGGGCAGGAGACTGACGTGTCTGTGATGCTCGTGTGTTGTGTGTTTTAGCCACGCCCACTCATCACCATGGCCACAGCTGCCTGAGACTGAGGGTGTACGTCTGCTGCTCCACTGGTGAGACTGCAACACACGCCACTGTACACGCACACGCTTTTACACTTTTAAAGGTGCACCGTGGAACTTTTTGACTGGGGGTCTGTCACCTGCTTGTTTCTATGTACTTGTCATTGCTCTGCCTCTGCCTCTGCCTGGAACAACGCCTCTACCTTACATTTTTCAGTTGCAGGTGATTTTACTGCTCAAAAATAAATAGAAAAACAGGCATTTTGATAGACCCTCCACAAAAAAAGTTACACAATGCACCTTTAATATCTCTCTTTTGTAATTATTCATTTTGTATGCAACTTGTTTCTCTGGGTTGTGTTGCTTTGTATCAAAATGACTGCAAACCAAATAACAATAAGTAATAATAATAATATTAATATTGGTCGTAGTTATCAAGATAAAGGTTATATCTGTTGGGGCAACATCTCTCAACCAGGGGGCACTTGGAATTATTTTAGGATACAAAAGGATAATTTGAATAGTATTTGAATATAAAAATGAAGAGTTTAATAGTAAAAACAGATATCAAAATAGATAGCCAAAAAAATGTATTATCACAATACTACAATAATGTATAATGGATTTTATGAAGAAGGGATGGAATTATGTTTTGATAGCAGTCAAATTCATTTAGCTTTTGAAAATATTACTGTACTAAGAGTAAACTACAAGCATTTGATAACTTTTTCAAATTGCACTTACCTGTTTTTGCAAATTAACTCTTCACATGTTCTTTATAGTAAATACCATTGTATTTTATGTAATAATATACTAAATATATAGTAAATAGGGCTGAGTATCATTAAGAAGTTGCTGATAGGATATATACCTCGATACAGTGCTTTTTCGGTTTGATACAAACATACATATTTCAAATCGATTTGATGCAGTTCAGTGAAAAAAGGCTAAATCATGGTTCTGGTACTAAAAGTCTTTGTTAAACCACTTCTTGTGCAAAGTTAATATAAAACACAAACATTTTACTCATCAGAACAGTGAAAATGTCAAATGTGTTGCATAAATGACTTTCCTTCCTCTGAACAAGCAACAAAACTGTAGCGCTGTAACAAAATAATTTTGTAAAATATACAAAAAAATACTCTTGGCGATACATCGATACAGGAGCCCACGATATTGATACTGTATCAGCACATTAAACGATACGATATATTAATATTTGGATATTTTTGCACACCCCTAATAGTAAACAAATATATTTTCTCAGTTAGGGGAGTACTTAGAGTGCGAGAAAAAGTTTAGGTGATACTCAAGGCAAAAATAGCTGGGAACCATTATAGTGCTGATCTACAACAAAGTATTATTAAGAAGTAATACTCGATGCTCTCTCACATTTACAGTTCTACATATACATCATGGGTTTTAGCTAGTTGGTTCTAATTTTTCATAATTCTGGACTGAAACAAAGCCTGGTTTTAGGCAAAGTTCAATGTTGTACCACCTACTTTTATATGCCCTTGAATATGAGTTAACATCAGAAACCTTACCGTATATACCTATATACACCATGGCTATATGCTGTTTTGTTTTAATATAGCCATTTTTTACATTATTTGTTACTATTTGGTCAGAGGTCATCCATACATATGCAGTATTTCCAGCTGTAAAACTTGGAGCTTAAGTATATTAAAATCATAGTTCAAAAAGCCTGAATAATGCAGACTACGGAGCCTTTAACACATTTTTTGCACGTGTTTCTGTCATTTTCAGTTTCTTTTTACATCAGAGCTCTTCTTTCTCTCCTCTATCACTTCAGTCTGTGTGATTGTACCTCTATCCTGCTGCGTACGACACTGAGACGGGCTTGAATCCACAAAAGCCGTTCAAATGCTCCTGTCTTCTCCTGAGCCTCTTGACCACTGCACTCCTCCTCCTGTCCCTATCCTCTCCTCTCCTCTCTGTGCATCCTGCTGTTCACTCTATAGCTAGTGTTATTTTTACCCACCAGCCCCTCTCTCCTCCTGCATCTCTTTATCTGTCCCTCCCTTCCTCTCTTCCTCTACTCTCCCTTTCTCTGTCTTCTTTTTTCTCTCCTTGACTTTTGCCTAATCTTACCTTACTCTCTTTCACACTATATCTTCCACTCTCTCCTTAACTCTTCCGTCCTCTTCCTTTCTCCCTTTCTCTATCTCTTTGTCTCGCAGTCTAGTACTCTTTCACTGTTTTCCCTCTTGTCTTCCTTATCTATATCTCTCCTCTCTCTTGTTATGCCCTCCTTTGACCCTCACTTTTTCTCTTTTTCTTTCTTTTTTTCCACCCCCTCATTTTAACATCAAGGCTTTTCATAATCTCTCTCTCTCTCTCTCTCTCTCTCTCTCTCTCTCTCTCTCTCTCTCTCTCTCTCTCTCTCTCTCTCTCTCTCTCTCTCTCACTTACTCTCTCACTCACTCTGTCCCAGCTTTTGATCCCCTGTAGGTCCAGGTGTTCAAATCTTCATCTCTCTCTTCCTCTTTCTCTCTCTCTTGCTGTCTCTCCATTTTCTCACTCTCCTGCTCTCTCTCTCCTCTCTCTCCCCTGTAGGCTTTCCATCACAGGTCCTGGTGTTGAAATCCTTCCCCTCTTCTCTCCCCCCTCTCTCTCCCCCCGTCTCTGTCTCTCTGTCTCTCTCTCTCTGTCTCTCCCTCGCATCTTTCTCTCTCTCTCCTTTCTCTCTGTCCTCCATTTCCTTTCCCTCTCTCCCTCTCTCTCCCCTGTACTCTCTTTTCATCCCTGCTTCTTCTTCTTCTTCTTCTTCTTCTCCTCCTCCTCCTCCTCCTCTCTTCTTCTTCTTCTTCTTCTTGCTGTGCCTCTTGTCATCTCGAGTGCGTCCCGTGTCCGTGTGGTTGGACACGTCACCTGAACAACTGTCCTCTGCTGTGCCCATGTGCTCTTCTTTAGACTTGAATAGGCCTGTTTTCTGTTTTCTGACTTTACTGCCCCCAACCTTTACTCGGCGGTGGTCACGGTAACAGTTTGCCAGCAAAAACGAAACTTTAGACGTTTTTAGAAATATATATGAAGTGTGAATATTTGTTGTACGGTTTCAGATGGATTTATAGGTAACAGTTATCTTCAGTCAACTTGGCATATTTGCTTTGTCTGTGGGCTAGTCTAGGAAGTCCAAACACTTTTTTTTTTTTTATTAAAGGTGCACTCTGTAACTTTTCTATTGGGGATCTGCCATCTGCTTGTCTCCATGGCGATCTTGTTGCTTTGGATAGCATTAAACATTTATCAGTTATGCCTTTACTCCATGACTGGTGTTTGTATTGCTTAAAAATCCCTGGAAAAACGTGCATTCTTACATTTCAGTCGCCTCTCCACGGATCTGATCTGACCTGTCACTTGACTGGGTGGCACCTCCTGCTTGTCTCCATGGAGATAGATAAGTTTAGTGTCATACTGTGGGACTTTTTAGGCAAAGCAATAACAATTCATAATCCATTGAGACAAGTAGGGGGCAGATCTTTGGTTAGAAAAGTTAAAAAATAAAGCTTTAAGGGTTGCTCATTGAAATATTTCTATAGAATACATTAAAATACTTGTCACTGGGTGAATAAAGCAAGATTTTGTTTAATGTACATACTAAGGCTGTACACTTAATCGAATCCAAACTCATGTAATCAAGTTGAAATGATTTAAAGCTTAACAATGTTTATTTTAGGATATTTTTGATATAAATAATTAGATTTATTTTATTGTAGAACAGCTGGATATATAGTTTATTTTGGATATATTTATGTTTTTCTATGCCTTATTTCATGCTTAAAGTATATTTTATTCATTTTATACATTGTAAATCTGCTCTAAGATACATATTTGTAGCCTGAATGTATTTACAATTTTAAAGTTTTTCATAAATTATTAATAACAAAGAGAGAGAAATGCTAAATAAATGCATCATGTAACGTCTGAATAATCATGATTTCAATATGACCAAAATAATCATGATAATGATTTTTTTCCATAATTGAGCAGCCCTTGTACATAGTACATAGTTTGGGCCTGAGTGAATATGTATTTCCAAAAGTTGGTGCGGGTATTCTTTTGGGATTCTTTTGATTCTTTTTCGTAAACTTCTATCACCAAACTCTGTGCTTTGCTGTAGGGGTCAGATGATTTGCTGTGTCCAACCAGGTTAGGAAATCGCCGATACAGTGAAGCATACACAGTGAATATCTGATTCAGCTATAAGCCCTGTTTATATTGTCAGAGGAAATTGTATCTAAAGTGGGTTACAATGAGATCAATGACAAACACTGCCAAAATTGGATTTCAGGATCAGGCTGGCTGGACCTGAGGCACATGCACCAGTAGTTCTAAAAGTTCCCTCTTTCATTTTCTCTACTCCATGCAAACCATTTTTTATGTTGTCTTTTTAAATCTCCGTACTGAGAAATAGCAGATCAAATGTTTACATCCACTTAGCAGCCCCACAGCTCCTGCCTGCACCGTTCACAAACACTGTCTGAATCCGCCGTCTAGACAAACATAATGGGGCTTCCTAGTCACTTCATTTAAATGCACAGTTTAATGCACAGACTGGAACGACATCTGTATTAATTGTGTGACAGGGCACACTAAGCACTTAATGTTTGGTAATAACTGTTTACAATTTAATGATGCTTCAAACACATTTTAAAGTTTAAAGTTTTGTTGTCATTTTAATGATCTGTCCCTCTCTCTCCTGATCTCTTCTATAGAGCTGCTATATGGTCCTCACTGGCAGTGTTAACATGAATACAAATGGGAAGAAGACTTAGTAAATGTACATTCAATACAGAACATTCAATACCTGAAATGTTACTTAGGACAATCAGTACTGTATTCTGAATACTTTGAATACATTTACATCAAGTTGCATTATATTATCGTGAGAAAACATATAATCAGTTAACAATCTGGGGGCTCAAGGTGAACTTGAGTTTGACCCTCACCGTGTTTTTTAAATATTTATTGTCTGTTTTTCCCCATTGTTCTTGAGACACACACATCTCTATTTGAATTATGGTGGATTGGAAACTTGTCTTATTAGTTTGGTATCCTACTAGATAACCAGAGCTGAAAGTAGTTTTTGCTAGTACAATTACATTTTTTACATCCATTATGTAGGATTATGCCAAAGATGGGACCAAGTCTTTGTTTTACAAGTCTCTAAGTCTCAAGTACAAGTCAAGTCCTAAGTCAAATACAGGCAAGTCCAAATCAAATCCAAGTTGTCTGCTTTGAGCTTCAAGTCATTTCAAGTCTTTAAACCAAAGTACCAAATAAATCTTAGATTTTTGCAATTTATATGAATTTTAAGATAGGTACTTAAAAAAAATCATTGTGTATTTACAGTATATATGAGTATTTATAGAGTATATAAGAGTTGTAGAAATTAATTTAGTTATTTTTTTCCTTTTTAAATGTCTTGACAAGATCTTAGTTTGAATCATTATGGTCAGAACAGAAAGGATTCAGATTTAAAAGTGCTTCTTAAGTCTTCTCAAGTCACAGACCTCAAGCACAAGTCAAGTCCCAAGTCACTGACCTTCAAGTCCAGGTCGAGTCCCAAGTCTTAGTCCATTTTATCAAGACAAGTCTCAAGTCCTAAAAATAGTGACTCAAGTCTGAGTCACGTCCAAGTCTCAACTCACCCCAGCTCTGGATTATGCTCTGATTATGTTCAAATCAGGGTCAAGCTGACTAGTCCATTCTAATGTGAAAGGGGCGATGCTTTTAAAATAGATTTGACAATCAGATACTATTTTGATGATATTTTTATTTTTTTTAAGTAAACTACTCTCATTGAGTGTCATATTGAGAGAAAATCTAACTGCTGTGAGGCCTCTGTCATTAGTGGCATTGAGGGCAAAAGTTTGGGGGCTCGTCCAGGTCCGTGGGCCCTAAGCGGCTGCCTACTTTTGCCTAATGGTAGTGCTGCCTCTGATAATCATAAACAACTTTATTTTAGTTGTTATGAATTATGTCTAAACAGAGACACAAGCACACACTGCAGGAGCAGTGTTTTCTATTTTTTTTACTGATTCGGCGCAGTTCAAAGCCAAAATTACATGACAAAGTACCACCGTGTATTCCTTTTAATTTAGAAAATAACTGTATTCTGTAAACCACCAAATGAAAAACTAACTTCCAGAATACAGGTACTACAAATTTGTATTCAGAATATGTATTTTTGGTGCATGTATGCAGTTACTTCTCAACACTGACACCAGAAATCTGATCATTATCTGATTTCTGGAGTTATCAGATTAGTGAAATGTCATGTTTGGTTACATCAAATGTGAATAGTCTGATTTCTTCTTCTTTGTTCAGATCTGTGCAGGTTTTGACAAGATAAATGATATAAAAAGGGGAACTTAAAGAGGCTAAGACAAAAACAAAAGAGAAAATGTTAAAAACTAAAAGTTAGTTTAAATTTTGTTGCACTTTTGAATGGACATGGACACAGTTTGACAGGACTGGACTTGAATGACTGATACTGTTTTTTTGTGTGTGTCTTTTTTGTGTGTAGTTTTGTGTATATGACGAGTGTGTTTGTTTGTTTAGTCTGTTGTCTGTTGTCTGTCTTTGTATGATTTCAATAAATAAATAATCATTGGTTGCACTTTCTCTTCCAAATATGACTAAGAATCTGCTTTGTTTTGTTTTTTCAGATGATCAGATTTCTCTTGTGCATGTAAACACACACACACACACACACACTCCAAAATCTGATCTAATTATTGAGTTATCTGACTATTCTAGTGATCTGATTTCCACTTGCCATGTAACTGTCTCCACTGTTGTGTTGTTTTGCAGTTTCTCAGTCCGACGATGACTCCAGTCAGACTTCTCCTGACTACACAGACCGGCCTCACATCAAAATACACAACCTCGGTGAGTGACGAATGCACCATCATTGTGGACACAAACATTCAACTGTGAGGGAAACTCCACGGGCAGGCAATGGTTATGACTAAAATATTTATGGCTGTGTAATATGGTTATAACTATCTATATCTATAATGTCCATAGTCCCATATACAGGTAAGAGTTTTATTATGATCTCTTTTATTACTGATAATCATGATGCTATTCACTAACATGATAGGACCATTTGTCTATAATCACTGAGCAATACTTATATTATCCTTTATAATAAATTCATATGTATGGAAACAGTTTTGACCCTATAGAATAGCCAGTGCTTTTGCCAGTGCAGTTGTTATGGAAGATCTGAATGTACTTTCTAAAGGGTGAAGAAATTGACATAAACAAATACGCTATATACAGTATATATTTATTTTTCCCATTTGCAGTACTGATTATTATGGAAATCCCCGTGTGTGTGTGTTAAAGTATTGCACAAAACATAAATATAACATACTTTTAAGTAATGAAATATCACCTTATACATTTATTTTAGTTATATTTTAATTGTATTTTGATTTTGTTTTCCATTGTTGTTATGCACTATGCTCAATACGAAATCTTTAAAACAACCATTGCAGTGTAATCGATTTTCAATATATCTTGCACCTTTAAAGGGACAGTCTGGAATTTTGGACATAGGGCCTCATTTTCTAGTGAGCCAGAGTGTAGGAGACATATGGAGACACTTTAAAAAATATTCTATAGTCCTTGTATTTGCAGAGTTCGCTGGTGCTAGGCTAGTGCATGTCAATGGTCATAGTTATCCTGACACTAAAAAACAGTCTTACCCACTCCACAAAACACCCGAAGCAAATCTATTATTATACCAGACTGTCGATGTGAATGTCTGTGTTGATAGGATCATTTTAGAAGTAAAACCAACCTTGCATTTGAAGGATTTATGTCTGAGCAGCAGCAGCGAGTTGTACTTCTTCATAGAAAGCTTGGCAGTGGCTGACTGATATCACCTAGCACCTATCTTACCGGTAAAGTAAAATTCCGCTGCTGCTGAGAAAATAGTCCCTCAACATGTGACGATTCATGCGGTGCAGGGTTAGTTTTATTTCAAATATTATTCTATCAACACAGACATTTGAATTGAGAGTCTGGTGTAATAATAGATTTGCTTCGGGTGTTTTGTGGAGTGGGTAAGACTGTTTTTAATGGCAGGCTAACTATGGCCATTGACATGCACTAGCCTAGCACCAGTGACCTCTGCAAATACAAGGACTGGATGGAATATTTTAAAAAGTGTCTCCACACATCTCCAACACTCTGGCTCACTAGTTCTATGTCCAAAATTCCAAACTGTCCCTAAATTAACTTACCTATTTAGTTCCTTGCTATATCTGCACTGTTTATTTATGTATATATTGTATATATTGATACTTTTGTTTTTGGTTGTTTTTTGTTTTTTGTTTTGTTTGGTTGGGTGTTTTTTTTTGTTTTGGTTTTTTTTTTTTTTGCAATTTAGTCAGTGTTTTTTTTCTCCACTTAAGCCAGAGTATATATGCAAATTTTTTCCCACATGCAATTTATATTCTATACTAATGATAATGATGAAAAATGAAGATGAAGAATTAAGAAATGAGCCAATAATAATAGTTATCATACCATTTTTACAAATCTAGGTGTATTTATTTAAAGAAAGGAAAGTCTGTTGAGAACAAATTCTTTCTTCAGTTACTAAAACATTGACAAACCACTGAATTGTTTGGATTCCTTCACTCAACTACCCGTATATATCTATAACAAACAATTATCATTCCTTCCTATACATTTTTAACCATTCGTGTTCTTCCTTTATTTGTCTGTGCCTCATTTGCGTCCATGACTCTTGCTTCTCCCCTCACTTATGTAATGTGTAAAACCATTTAGCCACTTAAAGGATGACTCACATCTGTGTTCTGTTCTCTCCTCGTATGTTTTCACAAAGCTTTTTCAAACCAGGGTTATACTTTCAAATGAACGTAACAACGAGGAACTGCCGAAAACATGAGAGATGAGATATTTTTCTATTGTAAAGCCCAGGTGACTGCTCTGGGTCAGTGCAGGTCTGGTGAAGGAGTGAGGCGGCGGTGTTTGCTAAAGTCAAAAGCATGTCGGAGCGTGAGTCAATTGTTCAGTTGAGTGGTTACGTAAGTCCACTATTTTTCTTTCTTTTCTTCTCCCCGTCTCTCAAACAAAGACAGTGGCGGAGAATCGTTTAGCGAGCGCGTTTCTCTGAGCCAGGAGCTGGACGAGAGCTGTGACCAAGGCTGACCACAAGAGCCCTTAAGCCAGGAGTCCAACTTGAGTCAAGGGGTATTTCAGGGAGAGATAAGGCTGTGGAAGAATAGAATACAATACAATACAAGATACTATTTCTTCTTTAAATCCCCCTGTCAGTGTAAATCTGATCTTATGTTATAAAGTTGTTTCCTCACCAAAAACATATCTGAAGTTAAGGCTGTGCATTTAATCAGATTTTGATTGCAATTTCGATTTGTGTGTCAGACGATCTCCAAACTCATATAATCACATTGAAATGATTTAAAGCTTAACAAAGTTTATTTTGGGATTTTTTTTAATATGTAAAAATAAACTGTATTTATTTTATTTTTTTAAATTATAGATTGTAGAACAGCTGGATATATAGTTTATTTTGGATACATTTATGTTTTTCCATGCCTTATTTCATGTTCAAAGTATATTTTATTCATTTTATGTTTTATACATTGCAAAACTGCTAATTTTTGTAGCCTATATTTATTTTCAATTGAAAGTTTTGTGTAAATTATCAATAACAAAGTGTTTTGGGGTTTTGTTTTTTTTTGAGAGAAATGCTGAATAAAAGCATCGTGTAACAAAAAAATAATTGTTTGAACAATTGTGATTTGAATATTTACCAAAATAATCATGATAATGATTTTTTCCATAATCGGGCAGCCCCACCTGAAGTTGTATTGCTTTTCATTCACTCATGTTTAACACAAACCCTGAATATTTACGGTGAGTTTTTTCAAACCAAAAACACTCAGGACATCTCACTTTGTCTCGCATTAATAGATGAAGTGCTCCCCTGTGTTTTTAAACTCCATACATTGAAATCATTTGCCCTGGAATTGCCAATCTCTGCTAAACTAAAGGTTAAAGGAGCTGTTACCTTGAAAAATACCACTACATAACATGACAAGGTGGAGCAGAGCATTTTGAACTTTGGAGATGTAGACAGATTAATAATAAAGGAATTCTCAAGCGTGTGAATGAAACAAAACACAACTCCAGGTATGTTTTTTGATGAGGTAACAACATTATAACATGTAAGTTAACTTTGTGTAAAACATAGCCACTGGAATTCTCACTGACCAGATGGCATAAACATGAATCTGCAATCAAGTTCATTGTTATCATAAAAGCTAAAGATGCAACATGTAACTTTTTCTTGTGTAACCTGTTTGTCTGCTAAGAGACATGACCACTTTACTTGGAATCTTTCACGGTATGGCGTTAAACTTATCTATGTCGTGCAGATCTAATCTTTAAATTGGCCTCATGACGCCATCTGATTTTCTTTGTACTGCAGAACATTCCAGGCAGAGCAGGTACAGACCTTCTCGTTTGAGTCCACATGTTTAGCAGCAGCCTTTGTGTCATCATGATTTTGTTTTCTTATAAGATGACAAGCTAGAATGTTGGAAACAATTTCACCAATAGCGTTCATGTGAAAGTGCTATGAAGTAGTAGCTTTTTAAGTCTTATTTCACAGTTCATTTATTTGCCTTTTTATAGTTGTGTGTCTAAAGCCATAACCGTCAATGGGATTTTTATGATTTCTGAATTCTCGTCCTAATTTGCAGGATTGCTTTTCAAGATAATTTGAGGAAGATCTAGTTTTGTCAGTGAAGTTTACTTTCCAATGTCCATTTGTTTGTAAGCTGTACACAGTGAAAGTTCGAGACACAATAGTCTGAGGACAGGTGGAGAAAGCACAAAAAGCCCAGCGTGCAGATAGAGCAGATAAAAGCGTCGTTGGAGCAGGGGGAGACAGTGGTGGGCGAATAGCTCAGCACAAACTCCAGCTTACGTAGATTTTCATATAAAGCACACTGGCAGGGGATCAGACAAAAGCACTGCCTCTAGCGTCCTGCTGTGTTTGGCTGAATACATTTGGAGGAAATAGAGACTCACACAGACACAGGTTTAAACAGGCTCGGAGCTGATGGACCATAGTGACCACTGCCTCCCACTCACTGCCCCAGCCGACTGTTCGTGTGTGTGTGTGTGTGTGTGTGTGTGTGTGTGTGCTCCTCTCTACTCCTGTATTATTAGACTGCAGCATACGTCATATTTAAGGTAGTTATGTAACACAGAGCTTATAGATTAGGTCATTGTTTATGTGGTTTAGAGTCTGTCTTAACCAGAAATAACACAAGTCTGTACAACTTCAAGCTGGGTATTATATTATTATTTTTATATATTTCTTCAGTTGATATATTCCTTCCTTCTTGACGAGAGCCTTGCCATTTTGCAGTTTGTGGTTCATGCTGCCATTGTGTCCTATAGCAAGACTCTTCACTATAACTACCCCCAGTGTATGCAGCAGTGTTGTATAGCTTTTATCTCTTCATTGGTATCTGTCTGAGTCTGCTGCATATATTTCCATATGTTTTCTTGTTTTCTATTGTCCTTAAGTGACCTGAGATTATCTCAGGGCTCCTCACATAATAGATATGTGAGAAGTAAAGTAAAGTTATTTTCACTGCAGTTATAAACAGTGTCGACTATGCACAAAAAATGCTGACTGACGAACTATTCCATGTTTTAAAATTCTTTTGTTAATAATGGCATGTCTCTATTAGCCTGATTCATCAGCCGGTTTCACTTTGGGGAAACCATCTGACCTCACAGCATTAGAATTTGTTAGCTCGACAGAAGACAGGCACTTTTTTATTTAACTAATCGCTGCTATTTGGTTGTGACAT